TAATCTTAAGATACTCCTCAATCTTTTTTTTTCTACACATTTGAAAGTAATTAAGACAATAATAAAATGTTTTCATTTTCAAAGTTTCTGTTTACGAGAGCAATAGTAATTGGTTTAAAAGTCAAATCTAACTGACGCACACAATTGATATACAGAGAATAATAATATTGAATCTTTACTTTTGTTTTTCCCATTAGAGTGTTGTCAACTTTGAGGATTTTTCTCTTAAGATCGGTGGAGAAAAGGGAGAACGACTTTCTTTTCTAAGTAATCGTGATGTTTTGGCGCTCACCAGAAAATCATCCAGTCGGAATTCAAACCCAGAATCAAGCCACCAGTCCAACCCTTTTTTCTAACCGAATTCGTCCGAGAGTATGTTTTCTATCATCTTAGAACAACTTAGAGCACGCAATTTAGTGCAGAATTAGAGCAAAATGTTAAAAAAAAATAAGTGTTTCACTGAGGAATTTGTCTTGATTGTCAGATATCGGTTCTTTCATACATGAGAACGTGCACATTTTATTTGCTCAACTACGTCTCTTTACTTGACATTTGTGGCATTTGGTACATGTGTCCTCTTCTTGTTTCCTCGAACTTTGTCTCCATAATATATTATTTGTAGATCTGTATCTATAAGTCAACGTTACGTAAAACTTACAAGTTATGAACTATCATGTAAACGCGTCTTTTTCAGTTAAAACTGAATTATAATGTAAAATATATCTATGTACAGAACAACGTTTTCGCTGAACTTCTTGCGACACTTTTTTATTTATTAACTGCAATAAAGAATATTGTTTAAATGCCTCAGTTTTTAACTGCTGTTAATTGTTCACCAGCAATCTGAATGCTATAATATACTACTCTATTTCTTTTTAAACACAAGGAAATATCAATCAAAAACTTTTTATTTTGTATTATATTCTATATAACTCAATACTTACGATATGTTGTTTTATATGAATCAGATTTAAGTAAAAAAAAAATGTCTCACTGATCAATCTTAGTTTACTTATCAGAAAAATATTAGGTGTATTTTCATTTTTAGAATATAATTTTTTCTGAAATTTAAGCTATCATAAATGATAATTTTCAAAGATAGTCCACTCTGGCGCTCATAGCTAATAAATTACATAAATTTCATAGGCTTCTTTTTTTTACCACGTGATCAGATTTTTTAGTTAACCTCAATCATGTGGGGTCATGACTGTGTTGATAATAGAGTCATTAATAACACAAAAACTCCATTTTGCAATTAATCCCATTAATTTCTGCTAGAGTATCCTATGTATTTTACATATAAAATGAGAGATTTTTTTATAAGCTCATTCCACCAAGTTTTAGTTGAAATAAATAAAACGTAAGATTAGTCAATTTGATGCAAAATGTGGACCCCCACTGGTAGTGAAGGATATACACAAATAATCAATTTGAGAGTTAAGGAGATAAAAACAGTATTCTTTAGGGCTCTTTCAAACCCCAGAATAATTTAATTTTTATGTGGCCAAGTGTCACGTATAATATGAAATGAACGAGATTATAAGGTTTATTTGATTTAATGGCGGCTGTTTTTATTATGTGTTGTATAAGTTGTTAACTAGACGTAGCTTCGGAATAGTCTTAACGCCATTATGCTCAGTAACAAATGTTGATTTGGTGTTTATTTTCTGATATAAAATAAAGGAAACAGAAATAATAATATAATTCTTTCGTGATATATATACACATATACCTTTTTATTTTTTTCCTGTGAAAAACGTTTCAAAATTTTACCATTTTTCATGAAAATGTAAAACTTAACAATCGTTGAATAAACAGTTAGGTTATTAAAGTAAACACCCGTTCATTAGTTTGATTGGTGAATGACTCGTAAGTGATCTTGATGCTCACTTTATTGAAAACCAATTGATGTCGGACCTTTTACGCTTTTTTGTGTCTTAAAGAAACACTAATATTAATATACCATTTATTCTTATAATAAGTAACAGTTCTTCTTACTCTCCATCTGCTCTCAGTTCATCAAAAATCATATGTATTTCAGATGGTATTGGTTTATTTTAGTGAAAATATTTTAAAAGAAGAACTTGAAAAACTATTTCAATTTTTGTAATATTTCAATGTAGTTTGTTTCACTTGAAAATAGATGGCAGCAGTATAGTTAAGAGCAATGTAATAGTTGCTTAACTCGCCTTATGCAATAGGAAATAAATTCGCCTTCTTTCTTTGACGAGAGAAGGATGTAAACTTTTATATTTTAAACTCACATTTTGTACATATTTTCCCATTGTATCATAAAGAGTTTCAGTCACTTTAGACCTTTTTAGACAAAAAAGTCAATCCAGCAGTGTTTTTATAGAATAAAATTTAATTATTGTAACTTTGTGAAATTCGAGAAAAACTAGTTTTTTCAGGGTTAAGAGAAATTCTAAGAACATAAAGAGGAAAACTGAGTGAAGAGGAATGTGTAACAACATGTTAACCGCACTATATCTGCCATATATCGAGTTAGAAGATCAGCATTTCTGTATATATTTAACTTCAACAAGCTGTAAATTTTACCCTTAAAAACAAATGTTTCAAACTTTTACAACGTCAATTTTTAATGTGTGATCGATGTTTGACAGTACTGACATTTTCGCGTGTGGAAATAATACAATGGAAAAGAATGGTCAGTAGTATTTCCATACTGTTATTTGTCATTTCACATTCGTCAATTTGGAAAACGTGTTGGGGAGGCTAAGTGTTATGAGTGGTTGAAAATGGTGTACCTATTTAACTCTTTCTATATTGTATTTTTTGACATCTCGCACTTACCAGTTCAAGGTCATGTTGTGGAGATTGAATAATATGAGAGGTTAGACCGGTTTACTTGTTTAACTCTTCCCATGGCATGTTTGTTGTTTCATATTTCGCACTTATTAGTTGCCAGGTCGTTCTATGCAATCGCATACGTAACGAGAACACTCCCCCCAACACAATCCTACTAATATTATGCAAATAAAACAGTACACTAAAGTATAACAGGAATAAAATAAAAGATATATTTGTAATTGTTTCGTGTAATATTACAGTAAGCGTGTGTGTGTGTACAGGTGGTGGGGGTGGGGACTATGAGAGGTGTGTAGTTGTTGACTCTTAGGGAGTGATCCTTCATGTCTTGCAACTATATACCAAGCGTAAACTGGTTCCTAAAAGTGTTGATTTTGTGTACCTTACAAGTGAACTGCGTATCATCATACAAACCCCTGGACACAAAAAGTATTTATTTTATATATTACACCAGTATGCCTTTCATGAATTGGGTCAAGCAGGTCCCTGGAGTTGCTGCTCCGACTTCTCCACCCTTAGGTACACCACTGGTTCTGTGGAGACTAAGTAGTTTGAGGAGGTTAAAATATGGTTTGGTAGTTTAACCTTTTAACTCTATTGTCTAAAGATCTTGGTTTTTCTTTGGTGGATCAAATCTTGGAGGTGCTAATACAAACTGTTGAAGTGGTGAACCTTTTTGTGACATCACGATATTTTAAAATTTAAACATTAACAGCAACCTGAACAAGTTTTCACCCTGAACAAGGAAAATTAATAGTATGCGTGTGGATTTATTTATTTTTATATATATTTTACCGCCATAACAAGAATCGTGTCAGTATATGTTCAACAACACTTTTTGCCGTTTCCAAGTACCCAATAATTGGCACTGCACCACCAGTTCGTAAGCGGCTATGAGAAACAAAATGTAATGTTTATCAATTTTTCCTCATACCCGTTTGCATTAATTAGCTTGGCTGTAATATTTTCCTTGTTCTTTGGCCCTATCCACTAGATAAGAAAATATTAAAACAGGAATTTCTGGTATAGTAAGACGAGGTTCTCAGACAACTCGAGCTTGAATGTTTATCTTACTCCTACTTCAACTGGCCGGACATAGTCTAGTGAACTGGGGTGTGAGTCGAAAAATCCAAGGTTCGAGCACTTTTAGCTGTGAGTACGTCATAAAAGCGACAGTAAATCACGTCATTAAAAGTAACTATATAGGCGGCGGATTCTATTAGCTTTCTAGTCAACAACAGAAAATTGGGGTTTGTTTGTTGTTAAGCACAAAGCTACATAATGGGCTATCTGTGCTATGCCCACCATGAGTATCGAAACCCGGTTTTTAGCCGACAGAATTACCAATGAGCTACCGGTGGTGAACAAAATTAGGGACAGTTACGCTTGAACTAAGGAACCTGTGTCATACATACATACATAAGTGTCATACATACTAGAAATATCAGTACCTATTTGAAATGCATCATCCTGTTGTATGATGTGATCAAAATTTCCGCAAGTTATTGAACATTTTTTTTATATTTTTATCACTGCACTTAGCAACTTTGCAGAAATTCTAGGTTTGATCCACCTCTTGTACTTATCTACAGTGTCATATTATAAGTTCGTTTTGTTCTCAAAACATTCTAAGAACGTTTTTACATTTAGTTAGATTTGATAGTAAAAATTGATGTTCTCCTCTCCCGGGGATGGAAATGCGGGGGTATACCGTACCCCTAAATCCTGAAGGCCGAAATGAAAGCCTATTTTTATGATCATATGCAAAACCCCGCTCCTTCCCCCAGCCAACCCCAATTTTTGAAGCGTACCCATAATTCTTTAAATACATTTCCATCTCTACCCCCTCCAAATTTTTTAAAATCAAAATAAGATTAATATTTTGATCCAAGCAAGGCTCTTTCTACATTAATCAATGATCTATATTCTCACTTTATACTTACTTTAGGAATTCACAGAGAACGGAAAAGGTATGTTGACTGGTTAACAATGTTAGTCACCTTTTTCACATGACACAGACAAAAAAAAACGAGCAAAATACGCTATTAGAAGTAACGCACAGTATATTTTACATAGAAAAGAAAATGTACACAAAAGAAAATTATTATAGGAAAAATACAAGATTTTTGTGGAGAGAGTTCATAAACTCATGTAATCTCGTTTTCCAGAAACAAAATTTCTCCTACTGTGTCTTGAACACCAAATTTATTCAACTTTATCGTAAGTTCAGCAATCTTATTGCTATCGATTTGCATAATAAGGTTGCAGAATATCACGACTTTTTCAAAACTATTGACCAGTTGGTTAGGGCGCTTTACTCCCAATCTGAGGGCCACGGGTTCGAATCCCCGTCACACCAAACATGATCGCCCTTTCAGCTATGGGGGCATTATAAGGTGACGGTCGATCCCACTATTCGTTGGTAAAAAGAGTAGCCGAAGAGTTGGCAGTGGGTGGTGATGACTAGCTGTCTTCCCTCTAGTATAACATTCACTGCTAAATTATGGACGGATAGCGCAGATAGCTCTCGTGTAGCTTGGCGCGAAATTCAAAACAAACCAATCAAAACTATCACCTATCCACTATCACCCGATAACATAATTAAAATATACGG